ATTTGTAAATTCATAAATTTTTTAACCTTGAAAATTGGAATTGCAGAATCTTGAAACAGGGGAAGTCAACAGCATTCAGCTCCATTCAAAGATCATTGTTGCTTTTGAAAAAAAATCGTACAAACTCTAGTCACGTACGGTTCAAGCTTGAACATGAAACGGATCGACGCGTTGCAAGTTAGGGAGAGTTTTACGCGCGTAACAGCACAGACACGTTCGATTTTACGACGAGAGTTCGTGTTTCGTGGACAGTAATTGAAAATTACGACGAGGCATGCGTCCACGACCTGGTAGAAGCATCGTCACGAGATTTTTCTTTTGTGATTTTATGGCGGTATGAGAAAACTGCTGCTCGAACGATGCAATCAATTTTCCTCTCTTCCACCTCTTTTTTATACATTTTCAAACCGATACCGGTTGATGAAACCAGTCTCACAATACCTCGCAACAGATTAATTAATCGGTTACTGTCTCTATTAAAATCTTCGAACGATGTAAAATCTTTTTAACGCTTACTGTCCTTTTTCCCAGCTTTTCCGCCATTGTTTTTTTGACGCGGCTTGTCACGAAATAAAAATCCATTTTTGTCCCGTCTCTAATTACTCGGGAGTGTTCATTAAAAATTCGATAAAAAATCCCAGGCGGCGAGGCATTCGCCCGAAGTGCCACTTTTCCATCGATTCGTCGGCTTTCGCGAGCTTTGCAAAGCGCTTCCTTCACGAGCTTCAACTAATTACAAACGTTGAATATCGTCGAAAGCAGACACTCCGGTAAAGCCCTCCAATTGAATTAAAAACTACTGCAATCTATTTTCTTGGATACCTTCGTAACTTGAAAGACAATTTGCGTGACGTTTTCTTGGAGAGGGCGACTATTCACTTATATCGAGAGAGTCTCACTAATACAATTCGACAAACGAAGTATATAAAAATATTTGTACAATGGATACAACAAACGGTACAACAAAACATTTATCAAAATGAATGAGTAACATGTATAAAGACATTGATTAAATTGGAAGGATAAGGTAAATGAAATTGGGTGAACAATGTATACAAAGATATTTATAAAATTGAACGAATAAAATGTATAAAGACATTGATAATATTGGACGAATATATAAAAACATTTCTTGACTATTCACTTATATTGAGACAAAGTCACTAATACAATTTGACGAACGAGGTATATAAAAATATTTATACAATAGATACAACAGACGATACAACAAAACATTTATCAAAATGAATGAGTAACATGTATAAAGACATTGATTAAATTGGAAGGATAAGGTACATGAAATTGGGTGAACAAAGTATTTAAAGATATTTATAAAATTGAATGAATAAAATGTATAAAGACATTGATAATATTGGACGAATATATAAAAACATTTCTTGACTATTCACTTATATCGAGACAAAGTCCCACTAACAAAATTTCACGAACAAGGTATATACATATTTGTACAATTGCATGAATGAGATGTCTGAAGACATTGACAAAATCGGACAAACATGACACATAGAAATATTTTAAAAATTAGGTGAACAAGGTATATAATGACATTGAAAACATTGAACAAATAAGATACATAAAAATATTTGAAAAATTCTGTGAACAAGGTATTTGAACATTTTTATAAAATTACATGATCAATGTGTATAAAGATAATTTCATAAAATTGTACCAACAGAATATAATATAATTATAAAATTGTATAAACAAGGTATATAACTATAAAAATGAATGAGTAAAATATATAAGGAGATTTAAGTTTAGAGACATCAAATAAATAAACCTTGACAAAATACACCGAATGTACATAATCAATCTAGTATCTTCAATCTAGTAAAACTATCTTGTTACAGTTTTGTGAAATTTCATCTTGTGAACATCTGAGAAAGCTCATGGCAATTTGAAGAATCCAAGAAGATCCCGCAGCGATCAGTACGAAAATTTCCATCGAAATCAAGCTCTCAACGAGGAGGTCTACAAGAAGTCCTCGGTTAAACCATCCGCAGATGATCCACGAAATTAGACGAGCGAAAAAAAGAGAATGCGAAAGAGGCGACGGGGAACGCGTTAATAGCGCGAGCTTCGAGCGCCGAGCACGTGTCTCAACCGTATTAACACGATTGTCAGTTTGTAAATTTCCCGCGTGGTTCCATGAACGCGGTTGGCACGGCCCTGCGAGCCGTAATAATTTCAGACGGCCTTTCGGCCGGATTTACTATCCACGAAAGAACGATTATAGCGAGAGAGCTCTCTGATGATTCAACCGTTGGCAAAAGCTCTCGTTTCGTAGCTGTTACTGTTTAAAGATGATGTATTGTGCCACCGGCAGTGTGTGTATTCTGGCAGCTGGTTTGTACGGAAAAATTTTACGTCAACACGCTGGTCTACAAACTGCTCGATATTGTTTGTCGCGATTGTGATAGAACGATATTTTTGGTGTGCCAGTTTTGAATTTCCCGCGTCTTCTGCGGACGCTGAGGTTTTCTATGTTGTAGAGATTAAATGTTTTAATAAAGTATACGTGTTTTAATTAAATATATGCTATTGTTAAAATCAATTTTAGACACTAATACAAAGTACTGTATTGTTAAAATCTAGTAAAATAAAGTAATATTTTTAAATACAGTTACGGGCCACATTAATAGCCGCCATGTTGTATACGCTGAGGTCTACAATCACTTCTCGATTTAAAATTATAAAGATTTAACGTGTTTTAATAAAGTATTAATGTTATGTATATATTTAATAAAGTTTAATGCTATTAAAATTAATCATATTAATAAGATGTTACAATGTATTTATAATAAATTAATAAGATATACATCATAAATAGCTATTTTATCTTTAAAGGTTAACCAACTCACGCTAATGGCCGCCATCTTGCTGCGCTGAGGTCTAAAGTCACTTTCACTCAAGCTTCATATTTTTAATGCTCCTCAGAATAATTAAAAATTATTTATTTACAGAAAAATGTGTTATAATAATTAGTAATAAGAATGATAACTAGCTCATAATAAATTCAATACAATATTAATAATTCGAACTCCCGATTCACATAACAAGACCACAATTCTGTTCACGTGCAAACTACAATGTCTTACGTTAATAATAACACTCGAAATAACACTTGATAACATATTTAACGTAATATTAATAATTGAGATAATATTCTCATTTTATTTCATGCGCAATATACATTTGTCTATTCACAGTCACATTTCCAATCTCATTCACAATTAAAAACAATCTCACGGAGTGTTCTGAAGGTGTCGGTGCAATTTAGATGTCATAGTAGATAACCGTATCATAAATGTCAGTCGGTCACGTGACTCCTAATCAAACTCTCAAAATCTCGATAGAATTATTACAATAAAATTGTGAAAATACAAATTGTTCTACAATAAAATCTACAATAGATTATACAATAAATTCATCAAAGGTTGAAGAAAAGTTCGATAAATATTCAAGCACGATTTAATGTAACGAAGCTGAGGAAACTATCATGAAATTGTGTACAATGATTATGTTGTTTCGATCGATTGGCCAGAGGCACGCGACACCGCGACTGAAACCGATGTCACGCGAGATATTATTCTTGGCAACATATTAGACTATTGGATCAGGAAAGAGAATAACGAGTGCTGGCGTTCATGACTCATTCGAATCGGTGCCAAATAGTGGACGACATTGTTAAATCGAAACTAATTTGCGGATACTAATGGGACGTTAGTATTCTATGTTACAATTTGTGAGATTTGTTGAAACTTATTTTGGATTATGTCACGTTCCTTCGATGTGTAGCTGGTGAATCATGAAGAGGAGATTTATTAGAAAGATTGACGCTAAAATCCTGCGGACACTGTTTAATATGAATCGATTTTATGAACGCTGCTGACATAGATTAGTATGAATCAATTTTAAATGTTCAGTGGATCAAGTGAGTCACTCAAATGAATTTTTATAAATTTATTTATATAAAGATTTTGTTAAAACCATGTATTTTAACGTACATTAATTGTGATTCTTATTCAAAAATAATAGCAGTGGAAATTATGAAGAAGTAACAAAAATTTTATAATCAAGAAAGAATTGCTACATGTAAATTTTTGTAAATTTATTTATCGAAGAATTTTATTAAAATCATGTATATTTTTTCATGTTTTTTGACGTACATTAATTGTGATTATTGTTAAAAAATAATAACAGCGGAAATTATGAAGAAGTAATTAAAATTTGATAGTCAAGAAGGTTTTGCTATATGTAAATTTTTATAAATTTATTTATCGAAGAATTTTATTAAAATCATGTATATTTTTTCATGTTTTTTGACGTACATTAATTGTGATTATTGTTAAAAAATAATAACAGCGGAAATTATGAAGAAGTAATTAAAATTTGATAGTCAAGAAGGTTTTGCTATATGTAAATTTTTGTAAATTTATTTATCGAAGAATTTTATTAAAATCATGTATATTTTTTCATGTTTTTTGACATACATTAATTGTGATTATTGTTAAAAAATAATAACAGTGGAAATTATGAAGAAGTAATTAAAATTTGATATTCAAGAAGGTTTTGCTATATGTAAATTTTTATAAATTTATTTATCGAAAAATTTCATTAAAATCATATATATTTTTTCATGTTTTTTGACGTACATTAATTGTGATTATGGTTAAAAAATAATAACAGCGGAAATTATGAAGAAGTAATTAAAATTTGACATTCAAGAAAGAATTGCTACATGTAAATTTTTATAAATTTATTTATCAAAGAATTTTATTAAAACCATATATATTATTTTACGTTTTTTCAATGTACACTAGTTGTAATACTACTTAATAATAATAACAGAAATTATAAAAAAGCTACAAAAATTTGATAGTCAAGAAAGTATCGTCCCACGAAAATGTTTATAAATATTCGTATTTCTAAATTGATGGATAAGAAAGTGTCTACATGAAATTAAAATAACTACTCACCGTTTGTGCTGAATCCTGAGGCCTCTACGTGGATGCAACGGTATGCCGTCTTTTAGCCAGTGCACCCTCGGGGGTGGAGAACCCCTCGTTCTGCATACTAGCTTCACCCTCTCCCTTAACCTCGCTATCGAGTCCCTGAGTTCGGACAACGTCACCTCTCTCACTGAAATCAAAGCACAGTCGTTAAAATCGTCTGCTTAATAATTGAAAAGTTCTATTTTACCCGGCTGAGTATACTTAACGACGATGTAAAGAGTACGTATTAAATGAAAGAATTACGGAAACGCGATCCGGTTCACGAGAAATTCTAACGCATAATGAATTTCACGACGGCTAAATCTGCGGCGTTGAAAGAGAATTCTTAAAACGGTCATTTTCCAACTCCGTCCGGCTACGTGTCTCGAAGTTCCAGCAAAAACGGACGAAATCCTACCCCCGGAGTTTTAATAAACTTTTCGAGAGTCCGTCCGAAGAAACTCCGCAATACGCGTTTTAAATCGCGCGATCTTCGACGGAAAGAAATTTCGCGGAATTTCTCTTCCGACATTTTAGCCCTTGCGGCGCATGAAGCGATATAAAATGTTGAGTACTGGAATCTCTTAAAAGTTCCTGATTTTAAAAAGTAGAAAGGGAGATCGTCGAAATGAAAAATACCTGAAGTGCTTTGAAGTCGCTTAAGACGACACCTATTGATCTCGGAGTCATATTTCACACAAGCGAGAAAGAAAGGGTGCTACCCTGATCTGAAAGGGTTGTACATATTCAAGGACTCCGTTTTTAATTTCAAACTACGTTCGTGTTAGAAAATACTAGGTAAAGTTTAGTACTTTTGTACTTCCAAGGTTTTATGTTCCAAGGACAAGAAACGGTTTGAAGAGCGATTACTCCGGCTAACGAGTTGTCGCGTGTAGATTCACGCGATACCCTGGATACAGTGACATCACAATAGCAAGCAGCTGTCGCGATCGTAAATTGGGCGCGCGTTGAAGAAAAATGGGTCATCGGGGATTCTAATTTTAGAGGAGCGGAGAGCTGCTCTCGTGAGGTCGTTGATTGTATTGCGACTAATGTAAAGGGTACAGCTCGCTAAGCTCGTCCCTTTGTGACCGTTTCTCTGCGATCTTTTGTTAACGCCGAAGATATTGTTCTTAGGATATTGTACTATTTGTCCTTAATAAGGCACCTACTTTCACGGGGTTTCTATGCTGTAACCTTGACAGCACTCCTGGAAATTACGGCGATTAGTTGACGTTTTCAAAGAAACTTTGTTCCCTTTTTTCGTTTCTGCGTTAGGCGTTCATTGGTTCATGTCATTTAATAACATCAATTCATACAGACAATTTGTTTGTACTTTGAATTGATGTCAGAATGTAGTCAGTCAAGTTTAGTCAACATTAGCAAGAATACAAAAAATACTTTCATGTAAAATAAAAATTAAATTAAACAACTTTTAAAACAAGATTTCGTTTCATACAATGGTATCAGTTCATGTCATCTAATAGCATCAGTTCATGTTATTCAATAGCATCAGTTCATATGGACAGTTCGTTTGAATTTTAAATTAATGTCACAAAGAAGTCAATCAAGTTCAGTCAACATTAGCAAGAATACAAAAAATATTTTCCTGTAAAATAAAAATTATGTTGAACAACTTTTAGAACAAGTTTTAAGAAGAACTTCCTACATGTGACAAAACATGAATTACTCTCTAATAATATGTACAATTATATTTAACAAGAGGGTACAATTCAATGAAATTAAAATTCACATTCAAACTGAGTGACTCCGATTGAAATGTAAAATGTACATATATATACAACGATCGATTTGAGAACTTCCTATCATGTGACAAAATATGACATAGTCTTTACTAATATGTATGATTATATTTGTCAAGAGAGTATGATTCAGTCAAATTAAAATTCGCATTCAAACTGAGTATCTCTAAATTGTAATATACTATACAATCTCGTTCAGAAAGACGTCCTCTACCACCCCTTTCAGGTAGCAACACTATTTATGAACCACCCTGTATATACAACAATCATAAATATATTATAAACTCGTTTTATTACATATTTCCTATGTTTTCACCATAAAATAAAGAGCACAACTCCTGATTAAAAAGATCATTTGCAAGCGTGTAAAAGTCTGTCGCAAGCGTGTAAACGTCGAGACAGGTGATCCAGGGGGTGACTGATTACCCATGAATTTAAATCTCATTCGAAACGGATTACGGCTCGATGGAATCGCGTTTAATTCCGAATCTTGGTACACGATCGTAGAAACGAGTGGCGTTCCTTTCGCGTCGTCTCGCAATTTTTCACCAACCGTCTTCTTCGCGGAGCGGTGTTTTGACTAGCGTGCTCGGCGTAATTACGCCAGGCTTCTCTGTCCCCTCGCCAGCCGAAACGCGACGCTCGAATTATCCTCGACGTTCCGCGTCGCGACGAGAACGCCTCCGGGCATTTAATACGTTTCCATCAATGTCGTCGTCCTCGTCGCCGTCAGACGGCGGCGTTATTCGAAACTGTCCGTGACGGCCTCGTATTCGTAACGCTTGCGATACCTTCGTATCTTGCGAGATTCGATGGTTAACACGCGACCTCGTCATTTCCGTCATGAAATTCTGAACTCGTGTTTGAAGGGCGAATCGATACCGTTATGACCGATGAGGAACAACGGAACCGAGGTAAGCCATTTTGTGTACTTGTGTTGAGGTTAATTATTAATGCAATGTTAGGAGAAACAGTCGAAACACTATATTGAGGATACCTGACCTGAGGAGCAACAAAACTGGGAAACCAGGAGCGCCATTTTGTGTAGTTGGGGTCAATTATGCAATGTTAGGAATAGTTGAAATATTGCATAGAAGAAACTGTACAAATTATAATTAATTTTGTCTTATTTCAATATGTGTAACATATGTCACATATGAGTCGAAGCCCAAGGATTGGTGGCAGCTGTGCTAAAATTCTTTTCATTCTATTGAAATATGTTTTAATCTTCTTTAAAATAACATGTAGTACTTGTAAAATATTCTATAACATAATATGTACAGTACATAATGTGTATTATATTTTATTTCACTCGTTAACATTTCCGACCAATTATCGATACTCTATTTCATAAATAAACTTAATTATATAAATGAAATTTAGTGTACTAAAGCATGAATAGAGTGGCTAATCATATAGAATAAAAGCACGTTGAAATTCAGTGATAAAATGAGTGATATGAAATGTTTGTATCAGCAGCAAGTAGTACGAGTCAACGTATCGACATGTAATGTACGATAAACCTCGGTAAATAGCAATTCCGGCTGCAAATACTGTCGTGAATAGATTCTATTGGTGAAACATGTTGGTTGAAAGTTTTCGGCGAAATCGGTCCGTTTGAATTGGCATAGATATTAACTGTAGTAACAGGGGCGCAGTAGAATAGGTCAACGCATAGGGAAACGTCACTGCGTCACCCACGCATTCGGCCGTTTACCTGGCATGCTGCAAATTTGTTTTTCAACTGTACAGTCACTTGCAAGAGTCTTTATTCGTTCGGTAAAATTTTCTTTAGTAAATATCATTTTCTCTGGAAAAACCAGTTTCGTGAAATTTTACTTCAATCAGAAACCAGAATTATGTTCATAACAGAATAATAATTAAAACAGATAAAATCAAGTAATATAATAAATGTTATTCGTACAATTTTATTTTAATTCATAATAGAATTATAATTAAAACAAAACAGTAAAATGAAATAACGTAATTATTCGTACGATGAAATTTTACTTTAATTCGTAATAGAATTATAAGTAAAACAAAACGGTGAAATCAAAAAGCGTAAAAAATATATTATTCGTGCAGAGAAATTTTATTTTAATACCCGGCAAAATTATAATTACATTCCTTCAATTCTTACTGGAATTATAATTAAATGGTTTTAATTATTATTGGAGTTATAATTAAATTGCTTTAATTTTCACCGGAGTCATAATTAAATTATTTTCATTCAAGCTAGAGTTATAATTAATTTACCTTAATTCTCATAGGAAATAGAATTAAAGCAAAATAATAAAATCAAGTATAACAGATACTCCACAAGAATATTTAAAGAAACGATCGATATTTGACCTTAAAACTCCGGTTCTCCATTCTTCCGCTTCTCAAAACGCTCTCAGTTCTTTTGGCACAGAATGCGCTAACTTTAGGGCGCAATTTAACGGAACTCGCTATTCTTCTTCGAAAGCACTTTCAAGGTTTTCTTTATTTATTGTGCTTTCGTACATATTTCCTCGTAAATATGTCCCATTTAAATTTAAGTCCGAAGAATGACACGGAGGGACGCCATTTACATACAGGGTGAGTCATGGAAAGCAGGTCAGGAATTTCTAGGTTCAATACAATATTTTATGCAAATATAAATTCTGATAATAATATCTAATTATAAGCATTAATAATAGTACGTAAGTTTGAGCAACAATAATTTTTTAAATAATTGGCAGTGACCATACTTTCAGAAACGTCCGAGGATTGACGGAAGTTGAATAAACACGAAAGCTGATTACGAAAACCCGAAACATAAACTGTCCTCCGTTTGCATAATTTGTTCGACTCGCAAGCTTTCACGAAATTTTCGGAGCTTTCCCGCGATCGTTTACACCGAAAGAATTAAGCTGGAGCGCCATCGACTCGAAATTAGCCCACCTTCTGGTAGGGCGGTTGTTCGTCGGAATAAAACCGTGTTGCAATTTCTGGTCAAATTAAATCGCGGGTATATTAATTCCGATCCATAGAGTGCTTTTACGCGTCCCGTTGAAAGCGCTCGAGAGTTTGGTCAGCGAGTGAAAATTCACTTGCAGCCAAGAGGATTCCGCGTCTGATTCGCGCTGGATCGGTCTATTCGTTATTAAGCGGTTAGGTACGTGCAAGAAGGGACGAAGCTAACGCGAAAAAGGACAGAGACAGGATAGAGGGTTAGAGAGTCACAAAACGAGCAACAGATGGAACGGAGCGAATAGAAAGAGCCGAAAGGTGGACGTTCCCGGTATTCCCATGTTGCCGGAGGGGACGCGTTGGTCCTCCCTGCGAAACGTCATTTAACGATTAGCCGTGCGAACTGACGCCGAAATTCAAATTTAAATGGCACTCGCGGGAGACTCGATGG